GTCGCCAAAGATACAAGGAAGGGAATCCTCTAAGACTAATAGTCAACAACAAGCATGGAGCAATACACAAATTAGCGAAATTAATTTGCTTAAAATACTGAGTGAGAGAGATCTAATGAACAGGAGACTTGAAGAAGGCAGGATAAGCGAAAACTTTGCGTATTGCCTAAACAAACTCGGAGAAGAACAGGCAACAGTAAGATCAGAAACAGGAAAGACTAAAGCTATTTGGCTAGCAATAGACGTGTTCGATCATAAACATGATCATGAAATCACGACTATTGTTAGCCATCCAGCTCAGATGAGGTCCATCAACATGATGGGCGAAAGCTCAGCTGGTTTTTACCCGAAACGAGTAAGGATCTCTTGTAAACTTCATCAACCTGAACGTCCTCTTGAAGCCAGACGGCTTCAGTACAACGGGACATTCTTCTAGTGAGATCGACCTTCAGATCTATTTTTTCATGCACTTTTATACGAAATGAAAGTCTCCCCACCAGTGAAATCTCAGGAGATTCATCGAAACCCAGCTACTTTTAGTATCTACCATATATAATAAACTCATAATATAGAACTTTTAAAAAAACAACTAAACTCACCCGTCCTTCTGAAGTCAGCACAGACCTTAAGTCTCTTGCGCACACTGCATTCTGAGTGGTTTGGAAAGGCTTTACGGATCTCCTCTATTTTTATTCTCTTCGGCTCATCAATACTGCGAAGAAATAGTCGCAAAATGTAGGCCTGAAGAAAGTCACGGACAAAGTTGTTAGCTCTTTTTGAGTTAGGTCCAGATACCTCCATGAGTGGTACCTCCTGGCCAACACAAAAAGCTGTATGTAAACGACGAATGCTAAGGCCATTTCGATTGCGTATCATCAGAAAATCAGTACAAGGTACTCTGTGAAAAAAGATAGGAGATCTAAACATGTTGTTCTCCAAGGCCTGAAAAGGAGAAAATGAATATGAACACTCGGGGAAGATAAAAAAACAATAAGAAATTATTTCATATCATTTAAGAAAGTTCAATACAGAACTAGTTGCATAGAAGCGATTCAGCTATTCAAATAAAAACACAATGAACAAATATCGACGTAAAAGCCAAACTAAATAAAAATTGCAATTAATAATTGTAAACATTAAACAAAGAGCGGAGAACGCATTAGAAAAGTTGCATTTATTAAATATGCTCGAAGGTATGAAGGTTAAGATGGTGTGGCCTTTTGCATGGTCGCAGTCTCCTTCCTTGTATACAAGTTGTTTGACTTTGTTCTCACAACTTGGTCATATTGGCAGGCAAACCTAGAGGAACACAACTTGTATCTAGTCCATAGTATGCATAATAATTTCAAGTCGGACAGTAAACTTGGTACTTCCCAGACATTTCACTTGCACCGTATTTGACATCATTAGTGAGCTTTGCCAGGCTTAGCGCCACACTACAACTCGTCAAATAGACAAAAGAAGTATATCCTTTGTCTAATTATCTGGTAGAGAGTTGCTGTATCTTTAATGTCCTGGATTATTTACCTATCTTATATCCACGTATCACTCCTTCATTATCACCATTTTACTTGCTTATTTAAATGTGGCATACTGTGCCCTCTTGAGCGATTTCATGAAAACTCTCTAAACCCCAAACTGGCTTACTCAACCCCCCCCACCCCTTCATCCTTGTGCTGGGAATGCTGATCAAAGTATGCCATATTGTTTCGCAGTCCTCCTTGTATAGGTCTTATCAGCCTCACTTTTGTCTCGTAGGATCCGTCTGCTATCTCCCTGGTTCAAGTATTTCACTTGACCCCATCCAATCTGTCCTACTCGAGGCATTATTTACCACACTCTGCCTCTGGGAGACTAACTTGAGGCTAAATACCCCGAGGAATTCTCATGGTCAAGCCTTTACTTCATATACCACTTCTATTATCAAATACATCTACTGTTAGCCAACTAGCTCAAGTCTCAGCAGCTTCTATTCATAGTACCAAGTCTATGATTTCCAATGACATAGCCTCTTGTGTTCCTACCGACAAATGTTGTGGCTTTACTTGTTTTGATTAGGTTCAATGTAGAACCAGGTTTTCCCACTCCAAATGCAATCGCTTTTTTTTAATTTTCCTTTGTCCCTCATGAGTCTCAGATATATGAGAGGCGAAGGTCGATCCGACGGAAGACGACAGCTGATTCCCGTTGTACTGCGTCCGCTTGGCTTCATTACGACGTTCAGGTTGACGCATTCCATGAGACATCCCCACTTTTTTCGAGTAAAGATTGGATAAATTTTCGTCCATCACATGATGGTGGATATAGAATGATTTGGCTACTTGGTTGTGCGTATTAACGTCTATATGCAATAAATTAGAGTGATCAAAAAAGCTTAATGTCCGTCATTGGTCATCAAGGAATAGTGAAGCTAGAAAAAAACCCTGACCAAGACTACGGAGGTTCGTAAGCTACTCTGGTGGAGATAGTAAGATGTAAGCTTATAAAAGTGTAAGTCAGGTCACGAAACCACCTGTCTTAACCTCGCAGTCTAGAGTTATTATGATCTAACGTCAGATTAAGAAGCATGGCTTGGATTGCATATGTCTGATTTGGTTAATGAGCTCAATCTACATGTTAAAGGATTGTAAGTAAGTTTACAACCATCACTTAGTTTACAGGTTGAATCGCCTTATTCAGGAAGGCGACTCAACACCACAGGATTCGAAGCCAGTAAACTATTTAAAGAAAAATAAAACTAAAATCGTTACTCAGTTTTACCGGAACCAAGGGAAGATTGTCGTCACCTTCTATCCATGCTTAAAAAAAAGATGGGATAGTGATGCCTTAAAAATTTGCATATGCTCTCTTAATAAAAAGAAAGGAGTAACAAAACTGGCAAAAGGTAATCCAATTGTTTACAATAAACAAGTAAAAGTAATGTTTTGCCAGTTAAATGAAATCTGAACAAAGTTTTACCTGCAAGCAACCTCCAGGACGTATAACGCCCAAAAACGGACTATCGTTACGGCCAACGTACACTAGAGAACCATAAGGCAGATCTGGGGGTTCAGAAGAATATCCAATAGCTGGTGACAAAGAAGGATCTTTCGGATGCAATGGGCGATAATAATTAATAACACGAGTAGCCATTCCGCACTAAAGGATCATAGAAAATTTGATATGCGTGCAGAAATAGAGTAAATAAAAGTTATTTTAAAACAAAGTATTTAAATGATAGCAAAATTAAAATGATATAAAATATACTAATGAAAGCTAACAGCAAAGAAAGCATAATCACAAAACTCTATCAACCATCTGCATGGTCAATAAGCATAAATGAGTTAAGCAAAAATAAATAGTCTAATAAAAAAACATAAACGAAAAAAATATGTGTGCGAATCTAAAATCATTTAGGTATGAAGGCCAAGATGGTGTGGTATTCTGTGTGGTCGCAGTCTTCTTTCGTTGTATATAAGTTGTTTGACAATGTCTTCGCAACTTGGTCATATTGGAAGGAAGACTTAGAGGAACGAACCTAGTCCGGAGTTCATAATATGCATGATAATTTCCAGTCGGACCATGGAAGGTTTACATTCCGAAACATTTTGCCGGCATCGTCGATGAGCATTGCGAGTGATAGCACCAAACTACCACTCGTTAAGGAAGCAAGTGAAGCCAATTGTCTGCTAAACAATCATAGCTCTCCTTACGCTAATCACAAATCCTATATACTCGTACAATGCCTTCACTATCACAATTTTTTACATACTTATTTAAATGTGGTATAGTGTGCCCAATGAGCGGATAACATGGGAAAACTCCAAGCTGGCTTTCTGAATCACTCACCCTCCTTCACTATTGTGATGGGAATGTTGATCAGAGGCTGCCCTATTGTTAAGCAGTCCTCCTTCCATATG